TTCTATCTGTCTGTCTGTCTGTCCGTCCGTCCGTCCGTCCATCTGTCTATTGTTCGTTCTATCGTTTGTTCTATCGTTCGTTCCATCTATCAATCATATACATAAATCATTCGAATTCTATCTATCTGTGTTCTGTTGTTCGTTCTTACTATCGTTCGTTCTATCATTCTATTGTTTGTTCCTTCTATCGTTTGTTCTTTCTGTTGTTCATTCTTTTGTTCATTCTATTATCTATCTGTATGTATGTATGTATGTATGTATGTATGTCTGTCTGTCTGTCTGTCAGTCATCCATCTATCCATCATTCGTTCTATCTATTGATTGTTCATTCATTCGTTCTATCATTCTATCTTTCTATCATTCTATTGTTCGTTCTTTCTTTCTATCGCTTGTTCTATAATTCTGTCTATCTATGTTCTGTTTGTTCTTTCTATTGTTTGTTCTTTCATGCTATCTATGTATCGTTTATTCTTTCCTTCTATCGTTCATTCTATTAATCTATCCATCTTCCTGTTGTTTGTTCTTTCTATAGTTTGTTCTTTCTGTTGTTCGTTCTATTATTTGTTCTGCCATTCTATAGATCTAGCTATGTATCGATCGATTGATTGTTTGTTTGCTAGTTCTATTAATTTTTTTTTTCTGTCATAGCCTTCATTCTATCTATCTATTGTTCATTCTTTCTATCGTTCGTTCTACCATTCTCTTGTTTTATCTATATATATATTGTTGGTTCCTTCTATTTTTCATTCAATTGTTCATTCTTTCTACCGTTTGTGCTACAACTCTATCTATCTATCTATCTATCTATCTATCTATCTATCTATCTATCTATCTATCTATCTATCTATCTGTCTGTCTGTCTGTCTGTCTGTCTGTCTGTCTGTCTGTCCGTCCGTCCGTCCGTCCGTCCGTCCGTCCGTCCAACATTCCATCCATCCATCCATCCATCATCAAAATGGTGTATTCACTACCAACATTTATTAATTAACATTAAATACACATTAAATAAGCTTTCTTTGAGTTTGTGCATTGGCATGAATTACTTCAACATGTTATAAGAATTTAAACAAGCTTTATTATACTGTATTTTAAATTATTGAAATGATTTAAAAAGCATTATTAAACTTTAGTATAACTTCTATTTACAAATAAATTGGTTATACATAAGTGGTTTTAATTATTTGTTTAATTATAAAATGAATAAATATATATTATATATTTTGTTTCTATTTTATGTAATAAAATAATATGTACATATATTTTGAACTTGCATTTGAACTTTAAATTTGTTTTTAGAGATGTTTGCCACATCATGCATAACTATGATATTATTCCTCATAAGCTTTTGAACAAACCAATACCAAATATGATGGTACATATTTATTTAAGATGAAAATAAGATGTTAATCTCCCCAGTGATCAGTCTATAGTGATCTTGACAGTTGATAGAATGGACAAATGTCGACCTCTCGGCTCATTGAGAAGAGCACAGGATCGCAGGAAAGCTCGTAAAAGGTCAAATGGTGTTGTTCTTCATTAGTCTCGGTCTCCTGCTCCTGAGTGTCACTGAGTGGATAAAGATACACATTTTTATCAACAAGATGCTCTCATTCTTCAAGATCCTCGACCAGATCGACTCTTGCACTCAGAACTGAAGTGTTGTACAGAATTGATTCTCTCGTCGGCTTCGCTTGTTCAGATATTCCTGCCTTCGGTGCTGGAGGCTGAATATATTTCTTTCTCCGTTGAGGTCGCAGGCATTCAAAGGCTCTAGTGACATTTCAGAAAACCACGGTATTTGCAAAAGGGTAAATATCGCCCTGAGTGTTTGCCCTATTTAGATTGGCAGCCTCTCAGTATTGTGTTTTTCCCTTCTTTTCTGGCCAAACAACGACTCGATCGTGCCTGTGGGCTTTTTTGCTGTCTCTGACAAGAAATAAACAGCATCTGATAAAGCCATTTTTTTGCTTTAATAGGCAGCAGTTATTGACTGGTCTTCAAAAACCTGAGAGAGAAAGGTTTGTTTAGATGAAGCAAAGTTCATTATGGTTTTGATGAGTTGGAGGGAAAACAGTCAAATCTGATTTTTAGGTCTGAGTGGTATTAATCAAGTGAGGTTATAAAGCTGCAAATGCCATCATGTCATCTCTAACTGATAGTTTGTGAATCGCGCTGGTCATCCTGAACTCATTTATGACGGCGACTCACTGTCTCAAGGGCTTTCTATGACTGTAGGATGATACTGTTCAATAGTTTAAAGTTCACACGAGGTCAACATAAAAATGAGGATTTATATTAGGACAAAGAGGAAAGAAACAGTACTGTTGGTGGGTAAAATGTTGAAGCGGGTCTCTTCTACCCACCAAGGATGAATTTATATAAAAAAATAAATAAATAAAATAAAAAACCAATAAAGACAGTAATACATGTTACAGTTTAAATAATGGTTGTGCTTAAATTAGGGGTGTTTTATTAATAAGATTTATTATTTATCTGCTATTTTCTAGCCTAATATGGCTAGGAACTATGCTCTTATTCTGGCATCATAATTAAGGAATTCTGCTGCTGTACCATGACTGCAGCAGGCGCAATGATATTGTGCATCACCTAATAATAGTTCCCTGCTAAGTAACTTCCAACATGCCTTATTTAAATAACAATATATTAATACTCACTATAAATATCTTTACAGATATACATCTAATAACTGTTTGCATGGATGGATGGATGGATGGATAGATTGATGGATAGATGTAGATATATGCATATAGATGGATGGATTGATAGATCCATAGATAGAGGGATGGATGGATGCATAGATGATAGATGCGTGGATGGATGGACAGATGGATAGATGCATAGATGGATGGATGAATAGATCCATGGACAGATGGATGGATTGATAGATGCATGGATGGATGGAGGGATGTATTTATGGATGGATGTATTGATTGTAGATGTAGGTAGATGCATATATAGAGGGATGGATGGATGGATGTACTGATGGATGGATGTATTGATTCATAGATCTAGATAGATGCATAGATAGAGTAAAAGATAGATCCATAGATAGAGGAATGGATGGATGGATGGATGCATAGATGATAGATAGATAGATGCGTGGATGGATGGACAGATGGATAGATGCATAGATAGATGGATGGATGAATAGATCCATGGATGGATGGATGGATGCATGCATGGATGGATGGATGGATGTATTGATGGATAGATGTAGGTAGATGCATATATAGAGGGATGGATGGATGGATGTATTGATGGATGGATGTATTGATTCATAGATCTAGATAGATGCATAGAGTAAAAGATAGATCCATAGATAGAGGGATGGATGGGTGGATGCTTGGATGAATGAATGGATAGATAGATGCATAAATGGATAGATAAATGTGTGGATGGATGGATGGATGAATGAATGGATGGATGGATGGATGGATGTATTGATGGATAGATGTAGGTAGATGCATAGATAGAAGGATAGATGGATGTATTGATGGATGAATATATTGATGGATGGATGTATTAATGGATGGATGTATTGATTCATAGATGCATAGATAGAGTAGTATATAGATCTATAGATAGAGGGATGGATGGATGGATGGATGGATGCATAGATGAATGAATGGATATATAGGTGCATAAATTGATAGATAAATGTGTGGATGGATGGATGGATGGATGGATGGATGGATGGATGTATTGATGGATGGATGTATTGATGGATGGATGTATTAATGGATGGATGTATTGATTCATAGATGCATAGATAGAGTAATAGATAGATCTATAGATAGATGGATGAATAGATGGATGCATAGATGAATGAATCGATAGATAGATGCATAAATGGATAGATAAATGTATGGATGGATGCATGGATGGATGGATGAATAGATGCATGAATAGATGATGGATAAATGCATAGATAGATGTATATATAGATGCATAAATAGATGGATGCATAGATGGATGAATGGAGAGATGGATGAATAGATAGATGCATACATTTGTTGATAGATAGATGCATGGATGGATGGATCAATGGATAGATAGATAGATGGTTGGATGTATTGATAGACGCATAGATAGATGAATATTTGGATGAAGGGATGGATAGATGTATGCATAGATTGATGGGTGGATGGATGTTAGAATTGAATTTATTATTAATATGATTTAGTTTTCCATTGTGGTGTAATAATTAAGGAACTTTGCTGCTTTATCATGACTGCAGCAGGCGCTATGATATTACAGATCACCTGAAAATAGTCCCCAGCTAAATTACATAAAACATGACCACCTGGTTCCACAGTGCCAGTCGCACTGCATAATATCATTGTTGTTAATAGTATCCATGATCATTAAGTTGTAATGAGTGTTCAATGCTATTCAGCACATCATACTTTCAATAGTTATGTATAAATAAATGTCCTGTCACACCCTTAGTTTAAACTTGGGGTCCCACTTTATATTAAGTGTCTTTAACTACTATGTACTTGCATCAAAAAAATAAATACAATGTACTTACTGTGTTTATAATGTATTTGAGAACGCTTTTGGTGCTTTTGAGTTAGGATAGAGGTTGGGTTATGGACAGGTTTAGTGGTATGGGTAGGTTTAAGGGTGGGTTAAGGTGTAAGGGATGGTCAACAGTGTATTTACAAATGTAATTACAAAAGTTAATTACAGATGTAGTTACATACATGTATTTAATCAAGCATAAGTACACAGTAAATACATGTATTTACACAATAAGTACATTGTAACAAACTATTAATTTCTGTGTAAGTACATATTAGTTAAGGCCACTTAATATAAAGTGGGACCAAACTTGGAAGTATCATTTTCCCCCTGTGATTCAAAGCAGAACTTTAAGATCCTTGTGATCCTTCAGAAATCATTCTTATATGCAGTTTTGCAGCTTTCTTATTATTATCAGTGTTCCAAATAGTTATGTTCAGTGTTTTGGTTTTTAGGCCCCTTGTACCGACTGGAGAAGCAAATGGAGCCGAATGTGGCGGTGGATCTGGACAGTTCGCTGGAGAACCAGGGAACGCTGGAGTTCTGCTTGGTCCGAGAAAACAGTGAGTTATAGCATCATTAAAGGCACACATTATAGTTATAAGTTAGGGTGGTCAGATTTCTCTAAAGCCCAGGAGACCATAGAATGATCGTGCTGTTACTCATATTGTGTGTCTGGTTCAGTCTAGACTAAATAGTTGTGCTTGAATACACCAAAAAAAAAACAGCAACCTGAATTGGGAATATATGTTCTGCGCCTTCGTGAGAGGATGTATCTTCATACCCACAGGTAACAGTATCTGTATTCTCATTCCACACAGGGAAACGCAGAGCTATGGCTGCGCACATACATAGCAGTATTTACGTACCATTTACGTATCATCAGGGTGTCCGCGGGGTCTCAAAGTATTAAAAGTTGATAAATCAATTATGAGAAAATGAAGACCCTTAAAAGCTATTAAAAAGTCTTAATCCAGTTTTACGAGGTTTTAAATTTTGTTCAAGCTTTGTCCAAAGTGTTTGACTAATAAAAAGTATAAATATATTTATTTTCCTTGATTGGTTCAGGCCAAGTGCGTCCGGCCAAGTTCCTCTGTCAAGGTAATTTCACATAATTTGCGACAGAGGCTGGAAGGTGATGTGACTCTCTCCACATGTAGTGAAAACATAGAGCGGGGCCATCATTTGGCAACTGTCTAATCTTTTATTACACTGCTATCTGGAATACTTGATTCTGATTGGTAAGTTGCGACATTATAAAGGTATGTTATTCACAGATAACAACCGCTGAAACTAACAACACAATTGTGAATAATAATGAGTAATGATTGGTACTTCCAATTTGTAATGAATAATATGTAGGTTAGTGTATACTCCATTCAGCTGTTTTCGTTTCTGTCAGCTCTGCATTTAATTGAAGGATTAATAATTTATCAGAACAATGTTTTTGTCTAACTTTTAGCAGGATAAAGCACATCCATGTTTTTTTTTTTTTTTTTTTTTTTTTTTTTTTTTTTTTTTGCAGAATAAAGCCATTCAGGCTTATACAACAGCCTGCCGATAAGCCTGTCTGGCTTTATTCTGCGATAACAACTGCCTGTATGTACTTTATCCCTTACATAAATAATAAAGATCATTAGCATTATTAAAAGTACACACTGAGTCACTGATATTACTGGTTTGACTTCACAGATAATGTTTAAACTATACTTTCAGCATGGCTATAAATGTCACACCAAACGCAATTAAAAATAACATGAAAAACATTTACACTAAATAAAACACAAACATACCTACCATAGTTCATCAATCTTATTGTCGTTTTCTGTTTTTATTTATTTTTTATTTTTTTGCTGTGTTGTCCAAGAAATAGAAACAACACTGCAACAAAGGCTTTTCTTTTGTCCTGTTTCTAGTACAAATATCTAAAAAATCGTAAATCAAGAAGCATTTTCTAGACAAGTAAAAACATGGTCTTATTTTCGAATCTAAAGTTTTTCCTTTAAACAAGCAAAATAATCTGCCAATGGGGTAAGTAAAATCCGGCGCAATGTGGCGCAAGGCGCAAAGCAATTGTTATTTGCTACTTTCAGCTTGCCGCAAGAGTCGTTTTGAGGTGTTGCGCTCACTGTTTAAATAGCAAATGCATTTGCGCTCAAATGTGCGCCCATACGGATTTTGGCGCATTGCTATTTTGAGAACCAACAAACAACAGAACAAAGCCGGTCTATTGTCTGGCGCAGAGTGCGCCTGGCTTACACATTGTTTGATACACAGAAAATGTAGAGCAATACGCAAATATCTTTACATATGAAAAAGATATTATATATATATATATATATATATATATATACATACATACAATATATATATATATATATATATATATATATATATATATATATATATATATATATATATATACAATATATAATATAAAGGGATTAAAATGTTACAAAATGTATTATTTTCGAGCCTACATGAATTTAAAAACCACTGCCTTCATACTTTCTTCATCTCGGGAGGCTTTTTCAGTTCATTCATAATAATGTTATTATTATTAGCAGTATTATTTATTATATCCATATTTATATTTGTTTTATTAAAAACAAGCTTAGATTTGTCCACCTGCAGGTTTTAGACCATATGGGGCACAGCATGTGTTTTAGGATATAACTCAGGTTTTTGAGCACACTTCATTATTATTGTTCATTTATTCGTTTGCTGGAAATTAGAACTGAATTTAGAAATAGTTTTAAAACAAATCTTTACAAACGAAATTAATTATTTATTGGCTAATTGATGTCTGTGCGTACAAGGTTTCCCTATCCACAAGAGCGAAAGTGAAACTAGATTATGAGATGCCTTATCTCTCATTCTCGCGCTGTAGATGCTCTGTTTAACTGTTCTTGCCAGTGAAATGCTCAGTTTTTCCACTTACACTTTACGTCATGTAAATAGCAAATGTGCTTTGGCGCGACGCAACTGGCTCCTTAAGGGAATGAGAGATGAGACTCTGATTGATTTATTCTCAAAACACACCTATAACTCAATAAGAAAATAAACTCAACCCTTTTAGACCATGCGCCACGGCGCAAAGCGGATTTTTCCATCCTTATATTAGCAAAAGTGGATTCGCCCCACTGGCCGATTATTTTACTTGTTTTAAGGGAAAAAAAAATGCTTATTTTTGTCTCATTATTTGCTATTATTCTTGTTTTAAGAAACACTTGAAGGTTCTGACTTTTCTAAAGCATAAATATACCAAAATATGTTTGTAGATATTTAAGAAACATACTAAGTTTATAATTTTGTTTATCTGAAAAACAACAACTGAAGTCAAATATTCTGCTTTGAAAATGAGATTTGTTGCATAGATCTAAAGTTTTATTTTATTTTTTAAGATCTGAGGTGATCTGCTGCTGCTTTTAGTTGTATGGCAATAGATGTCATGTGAAATGGCATTCAAACTCACATTATTAGCATACATTATTATCATAACACTGAATAAAGCACATGAGGTGTACCTGAGGTAATCATTGTCAGTTGTGTGTTGTTCAGCTGTGAGAAAAAGAAGCCGTTTTAAAAATATAAATTTCGGGTGTTGGTTTGGGCAAAAAAAATAGGGAAAATATATATGGAATATTTCCATCTATCGTGTGCCGTTGCTTTTATTTAGAACAGGATTTAAATCAGCCTTAAATCGGGTTTTAGGCTCAATAGTCAGGCACACTGCTGTTGGTTTCGTCAATCTGGCAACCTGCGCTTGCCTGTGTTTTGAACCATGTGTGCAATACCTAGTTCTACCACTGGGTGTCAAACTTACATACTGCCCCTTTTAATTTTAACTCATTATTTTTGAAAACAAGACAATATTTTACTTGTCAATAAAATGCATTTTGATTTATTTATTTATTTATTTATTTGGGCTAAAAATAGGACAAAAACTGTTGAGTAAAAAAATTTAAGTCTAGTTTCTATTTATTTAACAGAGAAAACTGCTTGTTGGTTTTGGATTTTTTTGAAATTTGGACTAGAAATAAGACAAAAATGAAATGTGAAAGGCATTTTTTGTAGTGTATTCACAGAAAATGTCCTGAAACAAACAGATGCACTTCGATGGTTGTTGTAACCCAGCAGCGGTGTATAAATAAATGCACATGTAAACAGCAGTTATTTCTCTGTGCACAGGCTCTCGAGGCGAGGAGAGCTCAGAGGAGGATCCACCTATAGACATCACTACTGTGCAGGACATGTTGAGCAGTCACCACTACAAGTCCTTCAAGATCAGCATGATCCACAAGCTCCGCTTCACCACAGACGTGCAGCTAGGTGGGTTTCCAGCTTATCAAATCCACTAGTCTTCCAGTCAGCAGTGCAGATCCTCACATGGTCCCCACGCTTCCCGATAATTTTCAGACATATGGATTCAAGGCATGGAAAGTACTTAAAAACAAAGTGCTTGAATTAAATTTTAAATTAAATTTGTTGTCATGCCGCTGTCAAAAACAAAACAACAACAAGAGATTCTTAATTTTAAAAGTATTACATTTAAATCTTGTACAAAAACTAGTGGTGACATGTTGGCTTAGTGGTTAGCACTGTCGCCTCACAGCAAGAAGGCTGCTGGTTCAAGTCCCAGCTGAGTTTGCTTGTTCTCCACATGTTGGCGTGGGTTTCCTCGCGTGCTCTGGTTTCCCCCTGTCCAAACACATGTGCTGTAGGTAAATTGAATAAACTTAATTGGCTGTTGTGTGTGTGTGTGTGTGTGTGTGTGTGTGTGTGCGTGTGCGTGTGCGTGTGCGTGTGCGTGTGTGTGTGTGTGTGTGTGCTTGAGTGTGTGTGTGTGAATGGGTGTTTCCCAGTAATGGGTTGCGGCTGGAAGGGCATCTGCTGTGTAAGACATATGCTGGATAAGTTGGCGATTCATTCATTCCGCTGTCATGACCCCTGATAAATAGGGGCCTAAGCCGAAGGATGGATGAATGAATGAATGAACTTTTTTCATATGTAAATTACACTAAACTATCGAATCAGGTAAATAATTGGGAGTCATGGCTTAATGGAGTCATTAATCTCTAATATATGTACTACGCCCCAAGTCTAGGGGAAACAAACAGGGCATAATAAACGAAGAAAAAACAAATGTGTTGGGGTGGTGGATTTCCCCAACAAAACAAAAACTTAAAGCAAAAGATTCCCTTCGGTCGACAACCAAACTCACACACTCAGTTGGGAGTATATATGAATAGATTTATTATAAAAAAATGTGGTTTATACAAATGAGCATTTCTTCAGGGTGACCACAGGCCAAAATAACAAACAAAAGAATCTATAAAGTAAATCCACTAAATTACCTATTACTATTTAAAAAAAAAAAATACAAAAAGCTTACCTCACTCCCTAAACATAAACAAAGTCAAACATAATCATATAAATAGGCAGGTCACCCCTACACACTCAAACTCTCAAAAATATTTTAACGTATTGTAACGGTGGCCCTTTCTTAAACCCCAAGTAGGTAATATTTAGCTTTTTGTTAGGGTGCCAGACAGAATAAATCCGTCAATATATTACAAATTTAACTTTAACCCAGATAGCAATAAGCCACCGACTACAAACTATACTAAACATAACACACAAATGGCTTTGGCAGTCAACCCATCAACGATGTTGGTATGCTAACGTTTTGTTTTCCTTGTTTGTTGTCGAAGTGTAAAGTACCTGAAACCGGTGAACTAGAGGAAAATCACCTACAGCCCGCGTCTATGTAGAGCGACGTCACTCAGCTCCCTTTGTTGTGGACACCACACATGATCTCGGGCGACGGCGACGGCTAAATCCACCATCTCAGCCAAAACGTCTCTCCAAAACGCTTTAACTGCACTCTTCACTGGATCCGATCACCACCGGTAGACTTTTGCAACTTCGCTTTTTGGCGCTTACACTTCTCGACACTTCCAGAGCCAACTCATTCGACCACTGTTTTCAGTGCTATCCTCGTACCGTTCTTATTACTTCCTCTTCCGCTCTTTTCTTTTTAACCTGTAATCATTTTCCTCCAGGTGGTATGGATTTACATCCTAATTGCCACAGTATGATGGTCATCAGTACAGTATTGGTTGTTGGTCGTTGGCCGGAGGGGTGAGGGAAACCCAGGAGCTCCACTCCGAACACCGAATGCACAGAAATGAGCTCTCCGAACCCTGCCGGAAGCTCCCTTATATACAGGCTTTTGAGACCAGCAGCCAATCAGAACAGGGAATCACGCCGGTATGGGAGCCTATGAGACAACAGAAAAACAACAAGAATGCAGGACAAAAGAAAAAGACAGAGTACAATCCGCATTAATAAATAAATCAATAAACTTCAGTCGTAACAATATGTTTTAGAGCAGGGGTCACCAACCTTTTTGAAACTGGCAGCTACTTCTTGGGTACCAATCACTGTGAAGGGCTACCAGTTTGATGCACACTCCTTAAATACCAATTTTTCTCAATTTACTTTTAATTCTATGTTGTAATTATTAACGATAAATGATATTCATTTATTTGAAGACACTGATCATGTTGATGATTTCTCACAATAGTTATCAACAATAATTTAACAAGGTAAGAAACCGAAACATCAATATGCAACACTTTATTTGTCTGAAATAGTTTTAGTTTTTTTATATATATACCTTAATGTCATTAACACATTTTACACCAATGCAGGTGTGATTTAAAAAGAATAGCTTCAAAAAATACTACATTCAGCTTACTGGTATGTGGTGCAATGGTGAGCTATTTTTTAGAACAGGCCTGTGGGCAACTCATGTAATCCTCGTGGGCTACCTGGACCCCTGTTTTAGATGAACTCTCATTCCTATTTTCCAATTGTTTAACTTTAACCTCCGAGGGCTTGAGTGTCCACATACGTGGACAGCACATTTTAGCTCTTAAGTGGATGTTTAAAATACTTTGAATGTTTTATATTTTGTTACAGACATAAAGTGTCATCCTGCAACTGTTTTGCAGCCTATGAAATGTCCCAAACACTATTTTTAACTGTCCAAAATTTTTTTTTTAACTCTCTGAAAGTCAAAAATCTATGTTATATATGCATTAAAAAGTGTTTTAGGTAAATTCGGAGGACGAATCCATATATATATACATAATTTTTCTCTAAAAGTACATTGTATCAAAAGATGATACTTAGGTTTTTATTCTAGTTAGGTTCCAGTAAGCCCAAATAGCAAAGGTGAAATAAAGAATATATGTAAAAAACACCTTGGGCCTTAAGAGGACCCTCAATGCTTATTTGTTATTATTATTATTATTATTATTATTATTATTATTATTATTATTATTATTATAACTAATATTATTATTATCATCTTTATCATTGTATAGTGTGAGAAAGTACATTATTATGAAAGGGTCATGACACCCCCCATATTCGGGTAAGTCTACCTCAGAATTTTTTCAAAAGATGCATGATAATGGGTGTGGAGCTCCACGATCAGAGGCAGAAGTGGGCGTGGCCAGCAGGGGAGAAGGAGAGGAGTGAACAACTGTTGTCAGTCGGCTCATAAAATCAATCACTAGGTTTGAATGCAGACTCAGTGCAGCAGGTCTCTTGCCCTGTCTATTTTAACTACTAGCCCTGCAGGTAATCTAGAGGATTTAGGCAAACACAGCAGAGCGGCGATGTGTCTAAATGTGAATGAACTCATGATGAAAGACAACGTTCGCCATTCTCCAATTCTCATACTGCTCTTCCGACGAAAATGCTCGCTGCACACAAACAGCTTTGATGAATCGTCCCTGACAGCATCGTGGGGAAAAACATGCAACAAACCGTGTGGATCATGAAAACAAACACTTACAACCCTTCATGAACAGCTGTGTGCTGTGGGTCTGTGTCTCACAGCTTGGCACTGGCAGGTCTGCCTTGCCTTCGGAAAGCACGTGCAGTCATGAATAATTAAGAAGCCGGCTCTTCTCATAGGACAAGAAAACTCTGCTATGAATAATAATGAGAACTCGACGTGTCATCTTTGCACTTTTGCGCTAGGTCTGCGTTTTGATCCACCCCAAAAATCATTTGAAACCCGGAAGCTGAAATCAGCTGACAAAAGCTCAAAATTATCCAGTTTTCCCACAATTAAAGCTAACAAGTGCTAACATTGTCTTAACTGATGCTCAACACACACACACACATCTGTTACAATCTCAGAAAAAGTACTCTAGGGTTTTGTGAACCTTTAAGTATAAATAAATATACACAGTTGAAGTCAGAATTATTAGCCCTCCTGAATATTTTTGCCTCAATTTCTGTTTAACAGAAAGAAGATTTTTTCTAATCATAATAGTTTTAATAACTCATTTCTAATAGCTGATTTATTTTATCTTTGCCATGATTTCAGTTAATAATATTTGACTTGACAGTTTTTTAAGATGCTAGTATTCAGCTTAAAAAGACATTTAAAGGCTTAACTAGGTTAATTAGGCAAGTTAGGGTAATTAGGCAAGTTATTGTATTGTATAACGATTAAAAAAAGAAATAGCTTAAGGAGGCTAATAATATTGACCTTAAAATGGTCTTAACAAAATTTAAAACTGCTTTTATTTTAGCTGAAATAAAATAAATAAGACTTTCTTCAGAAGAAAAAAATATTAAGTAAAAACTGTGAAAAATGTTTTTTGGGAAAATATTTGTTAATATGTGGGAAATATTTAAAAAAAAGAAAGAAATCAAGTGACTTCAACTGTACAACTGTTACTACTATAGTTCAGGCAGTCTGACACTGAGATATTCCTGTAGGAGTTCTCTCTCTCTCTCTCTCTCTCTCTCTCTCTGTATCTCTAGTGTCTCAAAACACAGGACTGCACTCATAAACCAAAGCTCTTCAGATCACACACACACACACACACACACACACACACACACACACACACACACACACACACACACACACACACACACACACACACTGCTGTTTCTCTGAAAACACAAGGAATATTCCAGCAGTGTCTGCAGTCCATCCCAATTACAGCAGTGCTGGAGGCCAGAAAGAGCTGAACAATCTCTCCAGATCCACACTGACTGACACTGTTTGCATGCTGTTTTCTCATGTGCTGCGCGTGATGGACAGCCGTCACATCCATTATAGATAGACTCTGCCTGTGTGTGTGTGCTAGAGAGATAGACCTGTAATCATATTCCACAAATACCTATTCTAATAACTCCCACACACCCAGATGCTTTTGATAAAAATATGACAGATCAGATCTCATATTTTTAGAAAAAAAAATGGGCACTTTTGCAGGAATTTTGATTTAATATGTAAATACTACTAAATATTATGTCATATAATTGTATATATTTTAAAGGCTATTTATATAAGCATTAATTGATATATTTATATTAATATTGTATATTTTTATTAAATTTAGTATGCCATTGTAAAGGCTATTTATTTATTTCAATGTGTAAAAGTGATATATTTTTGTTTTTTATTATAAATGTTGAAACCTTGCTAATTATTAAATAAATTGAAAACATGTTGAACATTTTTTAAGTAAAATTAGTAACGTTTAAGATATATTTTTGTCAATTTAAAGTTGTTTATATGTATTAAATAATATATAAATATGTATTATTTAAAACACATTAAACATATATTTTTGTATTATTTAAACATATGCTGTTTAATAATTAAAATACTATATATATATATATATATATATATATATATATATATATCTGTGTGTGTGTGTGTGTGTGTGTGTGTGTGTGTGTGTGTGTGTGTGTGTGTGTGTTTATTTGACTATATATTTTTCAAGATACTTCTATACCAATGGTTCTCAAAGTGGGGGTCGGGACCCCCTGGGGGGTCGCGGGACAATGACAAGGGGTCGCTTGGTGATATCCAAAACTCAAATAAATTTTATTAAACTATTAGAATTACCATATTTTATTCATAACCGACAGAATATAGTTAATAGTTGCATTAAAGAAACAACAAAATAAAAATAACAATCAGTCATCAGCCTTTAATTTTAAAAGCAAAATATAATTAAATCCATAAATGACTTTAAAAAACATTATATGGCTAATAGACTGTTGCATTTTTGTGTTGTCAATAAGCTCATGTTTATATTTGCCTATAGTTGTGTCTGCAACGTTTACAAATTTACAGTACAACCACCTTGAAAAATGGGGGTCGCGAGCCACTGATATGATTATTTTTGGGATCGCGGGCTAAAAAGTTTGGGAACCCCTGTTCTATACGGCTTAAAGTGACATTTAAAGGCCTAACTAGGTTAATTAGGTTAACTAGGCAGGTTAGGGTAGTTAGGCAACTTATTTTATAACGATGGTTTGTTCCAAAATATAGTGTAAAGGGGCTAATAATTTTGTCCTTAAAATGGATTTTAAAAGTTATTAACTGCCTTTATTCTAGCCGAAATAAAACAAATAAAACTTTTTCCAGAAGAAAAAATATTATTAAACATACTGTGAAAACTTCCTTGCTCTGTTAAACATCATTTGGGAAATATTTAAAAAAGAAAAAAAAATTCAAAGGGTCGGCTAGTAATTCTGACTTCAACTGTGTGTGTGAGTGTATATATATATTTATACACATATATATTCATTCATGTGTTCATCAATTATAGAAACTCTGTTTGCTAGCCTCAGATATTGCGCAGCCCTGTCAGTCTGTCAGCATGTATTCAATTCAATTTCAATTCAATTCAGCTTTAATTGTATAACACTTTTACAATGTAGATTGTGTCAAAGCAGCTTCGCATAAATGGTCATAGTAACTGGATCAGTGTTTTTCAGTTTTTAGTGTTTAAGTTCAGTTCAGTTTAGCTCAGTTCAGTGTGGTTTAAAGTCATTACTGAGAGTCCAAACACTGCAGAGCAAATTCATCGATGTGTAGCTCGACAGGTCCTGAACCATGCAAGCCAGTGGCGACAGTGGAGAGGGAAAAAAAAACTTCACCAATAGGAGAGTGAAGAAAAAAAAACATTAAGAGAAACCGAACATTTTAATTTCTCCGCTGGCCAAAAGTGTTGTGCAGAGCTGCAGTCTTAGCGGTGGAGGCTGGAAGCTGGCCTCAGCGAACACTCGTCTGTCCCTGGAGCGTCACTGGAATCAGTCTCATGCTCTCCACTCCCACATGTAACCTTAAAGGGTTAAACAATTAATGCACAGCACTACTACGTTTACAGAAAACTTTGCTATGTTATAATTCACTTACCTTTTTATGAGTTTTTGTGTGAGTGTTACCCGATATAAAAAAAAAAAACTACAACAACTGAATGTTTTGAGTAATACCCCATTTCCGCTGACTGGTACAGTACAGTATGGGTCGGTACGGCTCACCTCTATCAGGCTTTCGTTTCCACTACCAAGGGTACTATTTTGATGGGCGTGGTTTACCACAGAAAGTTTCAGTTGACGTCATTCTCGCTGGAATAAATGTCTACAGTAAAGCCGTACGGGTCGTTCACATATTAAATGAGAAGCACGTCTTACAAAACAGATGCTTTATACACATAAATATTTGTTTATAAATGTTCATTACTAACTTTCCTATGAACATGATCTGATTATAACTGCAGATCAACGACAGTGCGAAATAGCCTACTGTAACGTCTGCAGTTATATAAAATAAATAAATAAATGCAACAAAAATGAACACATACAGACCCTTACAGTCTCTCATATATTACCAATTACAGAAAAACTACACACAGCAGACATTTAGTCCTTATTTAGGTTCAAAAACAACACAAAATATCGGCCACAGTCAGAGCAAACCTCTCATCTGTGCCTGTAATCTTCACCAGCACATGTAAGCTCTGTTAGAGAGTGATTCCCAGTTCATAATAGTCAAAAAAAAGATGATAAACATGGGAGCTTGTTCATGATTCAGTTTGCTGCAACAATTTGCTCCTTTGTTTTGTCGGGCTTCTCCTTTGTTTCTCTGTGCTTCACTCTCACGTTTGTCGAAGACACTTCAATAATCACGCTCACGTTATTATCATCAGCTCAAGAAGTTCATTATATCAAATATAGATGCAATGGCGAGCTCCCTGGAGAAAACGAAAACCGCTTGCACTTTTAGACAGGCTCGTAAAAAGGCAACAGGACACGACAGATTTTGTTCTTCTTGGCTTTGTGTCTGTACATCAAGACGACGACAAGGTTTGTTTCATCCATGGCTCATTATTAGATGCATATAGTATTGTGGTGTAATGTCTTGGCTGTGTATTTAAAACATGACGGTTCCTTTGTTTTCATTCTGGCTAGCTCCACTCGAGCTTGTGACATATCTCTCTTACCAATCAGCGTTCAGCTACACGTGTAGCTCCATCTTTTGGTACCCTTTCTCGTGTTTGGTACCCTTTTGAAAGTGCCGAAAAAGTGGTATGGTACGATACGGTTTGATACACCTTTTGACAGTGTAAACGGTCATAAAAGCGATTCGAGCCGTACCACTCAATGGAAACGGGGCATATGAAGCTGTAATGTAGCCGTGGCGTGAGTGAATTTTGGTGTGACGCCCCACCATGGAAGAAATAATGTAGTGGAAACCATGCACTGTATGTGAACACGTCACTGAAATAACTCCCACACACCCAGATGCCATCTCTTTGCAGACTTTATTATGGCAGTTTGGATGTCATATTTTGAGGTAAAAACCTGGACAATTTTTGCAGGAATTTCTGGAGAAAAGGTGGAGATCGACCCTGTGACCAACCAGAAAACAAGTACCAAGTTCTGGATCCGCCAGAAGCCCATTTCCATCGACTCGGACCTGCTGTGTGCCTGCGACCTGGTGGAGGAGAAGAGTCCAAGTCAGTCAAATATAACAATACTAGAGCTGCATCTACACTTTATTTGTGTTTGTGTGCGTGTGTGTGTGTGCGTGCAAGAGGTTAGAAATGTGTGTTATGGTCTCCAAGGCTGCTGTTATTTCTGCAAAAATCATTAAAAGTTGTCATATTTTAAATTAATCAGCTTATTTTTTACAGACATTGTCCTATTATGTCTAAATAATTTAGGAATAGTAAAAAAAAATATATGTATAATATATTAAAAAATATTATAATATATATAAGAAGATTATAATAAGAAGAATTAAAATGGTATTCAAAAATATTTTAACAATAATTAATTGTTAATATAGTTCAACATGAAATGTTAAATATACATTTTAAATAGTCGTAAAATGTAGATTATTTTTATTAAATTTAAAGAATAAATGTCTTATACACTATGAATGTTTTTATAATAATAATATTTAATTAAATAATAAAATAAATAATTAAATAAATATTATTTAATTTCTTTTGTTTCTACTGTATTTTTTCATCTAGAATTACAGTCTTAGTTATTTAAAAAAGTATTTATTAAATTGTTTAAAACGTGTATGTAACATTCATATTTGTATTACTAACATTACATTGTTATTATTTTAATTGCTGTTTATATTATTTTACCATATTAATTTCTATTATTTTTATTGTACGGTATAATTTAGTATGCCATTGCAAATCTTCATCACAAATTTAAGTTGTAGAAAAAATCTGTAATTTCTACAGTCATTATCAATATCAAAAACCGTTTTACTTTTGAAAACATTATATTAATTATTGTGTGTGTGTGTGTGTGTGTGTGTGTGTGTGTGTGTGTGTGTGTGTGTGTGTGTGTCATGTAATTTTCTTTCTTACTTTAATGATCACTTCATTTTGAAATGCACGAAAAACAGTAAAATTATTCAGATGTTTTAAAAAAAAATTGCAATTTACTATTTTATTTATATTATATCACAATATGTATACTAGATTTTAATTTAGTATTTAAATAATATGCACAATTATTTAAAACATATTTAACATTTATGTTTCATTATATAAAAATGTATTTGTAATTTTTTAAATGCCATTTATTTATTGTCATTATATATTTATTGTCATATTTATTGTCAAGTATATTATTCTTATTACTATTATTATCATTTTATAGTATTATTTAGTGTGCTATATTATTACTTGTAATATATATTTAATATTTTAGATATAAAAGTAATTATTGTGTAAAAACCATGCTACTTTTCAATATCCTTTGCTCATTATAAAAGTACGAACAGTTTAATTAGAAACAAACAAACATTTCATTATACAGTAAACGCACATTAAAGTTGAACACATTCTTGTGAAATGAAGTCCTGAATTTCAGTCTTTTTGAAATGCTCCAGTGCAGTAATATAATCAGAGAGAAGGTGCCTGTGGTTTATGTATAAACTTCCTCCACATCGGCGACGTGACAGATTCAGTGTTGCTCTGCAAAGTCAGCAAGACATTTATATTGCATTACACCTCCAGGAAATCTCTCACTGAAGACACAGAATATATTTGCTGTGTCTCTGTGTGTTGTTTGCACTGGTGAAGTGATGCAGACGTGTACTTTTAGCGGAAATGACAGAGACACTGATTGATGAACAGAAGACACATTCACTGATGCTCCAGTCCTTCAGTGTGTATGTTCACTGGGATGTTCCCTTTATTATATGTTCTGTGAATGTGTTTTAAGATGTCATTAGGCATGGGTCGGTACACGATTCTAGTGGTATAATAACCTTGGATAGATATATCACTGTTTCACGGTATCATGGTGGTGTGATTACTGCTCTAAAATAGGTTCTTTTTACATGTCTGGGTAACAAGTGATTGATGTTTGCTAAATTGTGGGCTGATCATTAGCTCTTGATGGTGGAGGCTTCTGTTGGAGAACCTGTTGCCCTAACAGCTAAATAAAATAGTCACAAAAGAATTAAACTTACATATACCGTATATTGAAACCGGTTATCATCCCATGCCTCGATGTCATTATTAACTAGTGCTTTTAATTGTAATAATGCTGCAAGATATTACTATTTTAATTTAGTTAAAAAAAATAAATGCAGCCTCGGTGAGCAGAAACATATGACTGTACACCTTATAGACCACAAATGTATGATTAAATGTACTTTCAGATAGATATATGTATATTTGAGGAAATAATCAATATAGGTTTGATGAAAGTGTGCATGATTTAGCTTGCTTGCTTTATTTATATTTAATTTTATTTTTAACTTGATCTATCAATTATTTGCTTTTCTATATGCATTTGAAAAACTTCTTGGTATTTGCTCTTTACCTTACATTTTATTTTATTTTCAACTCGACCCATCAAATAGTTTTTTTCTTAGATGCATTAGATGCTATTTAGTTTACATTATTGTAAAGCTTTGGGGATTGTTTTATTTTATTGAATTTATTTAGTTTTTTATTTAATTAATTTAAAATGTTTTTTTTTTTTTTTGAATAATGAAATTATATATATAATTGTAATTTATTTTATATTTAATTTTAATCTTATTTTATTTACAACTTGACCAATCAAATAGTTTTTCCCTAGATGAGTTTAAAAACTTTGTAGTATTAGCTATTACGTTTACAATATTGTAAAGCTTTGGAGATTGTTTTGTTTATTTAATTTATTTTATTGTTATTAATCAATTAATTTATTTATTTTACTTTTAATTGTAATTTATTTCATATTTTTAATTAAAAAAATTTATTATTTATTTTTATTTTCTTTTTTGTTATTTTATTTTTGTATTTTATTTAAATATAAAATTTGTAATTTTTTAGCTTCAATTGTATATTATTATTTTTTAAACTTAAATTAATTTTTATTTAAATATTTAATTGATTTTATTTAGTTTTTCTTTATTTTTAATTACTTTTTTATTTTATTTTTTATAAAAATATTTAAATTTGTTGGTAATGTTATGTACTTGAATTCTTTATTTTTTATTTTAATTAATTTAGATTTTTTTATATTTATTTTTAATGTTTTTACTTTTAATTGTGTTATTTATTTCTTTTATTTTTTTATTTAAATTTGTATTAAAACATTTAAGTTTTTCTATTTTTTTTACATTTTTATTTAAAATATTTACATTTATTAGTAATGTTTTTACTTTTAATTTTATATAATTTTTTTTCTTTTAATCAATTATTTTTTTTTTTACATTTTTATTCAAATATTTATTTTTATTTAATAAATTTTTTATTTTTTTATATTTTTGGTTTATTATTTTTTTTTAATAAATAAAATATTTAATTTATTTTAATTTAAATTGTATTCATTTATTTTTTCCCTTATTCATCTTTAACTACTGGATGTTGATCTGCCAGTCATCTACTATGCCTGTACATTTATTTTCTGATTCTAATCAGATTTTTATGCTTCCTTTGTAGATCATGCAATATTTAAACTCACATATCTCAGCAACCACGACTACAAAGCTCTGTACTTCGAGTGTGACGCTGCTACCGTCAATGAGATTGTGCTCAAGGTAAAGTTCAACTCTTAATTACGCCTCTGCATTTTTACCTATTCATGTTTTTACTGCGTTTCTTTGTAAATTCAGGGTTCTAACAGGGTCATTTCTAAAATATCATGGAATTATAATGTAATGTAATGTTTTGTCATCACTTTAGACATTACGCTAGAGAATCATTCAAACACTAGCACTAAAGTGACGTTAGTGAATTAGTAACGGCTTCTAATAAAAAAGGGGCTTTTAGACTCTCCGTGTTTGATTTTCTTATTTATATAAACTATTGTGCTGTCGAACAGTTGTATAAACGCAATATCACACCTGTAGCAGTGCAATATGGCTGTATATCAGTGCTGGCGGGACGGCCTGTGGCCTCGTGCCAATGCACGCTTCCCACCAGTGCTGATATACAGCCATATCGCACTGCTGCTCATGGTGTGATATTGCTCATATATTTAAATGTGTGTGTGTGTGTGTGTATTTATTTATTTATTTTCAAAAAACGCTGTTCAAACAGGCATGGATGTTCTGGAATTTTTCCGGAAAAGAGCATTCACACACATCCTTTTCAAAATAACGAAAATTCTGACATCATTAACTAGAAATAAGCTCTAAACGGCTGCGCTTGTATTTGTAAACATAGAAGTCTGGCTTTTGCTGATGGTCTGACTTTTATTTAAAGCTTTAGCATTCATGCAGTTGTTGTCACAGAGACATCCAAAGGCAGAAGCTGGAACCACAACTAAATGTTTACACATTAGACTACATTACAAACTTACAAACATTATGTCGATGCATAGGTATTGTGAACAACTTCGATCAAAACATATCGTGGAACACTTTCACATGCCGAGATGTACATAATGTGTGTGTCCTGGAGCTTACCGGCTGCTTCACGTGCACACGCGTCAAGCAACTGAAGCAGAGCCTGAATGTAAACAGCGGTTTATCATAAGCATTTTATCGATGATTTTTACAAAGTTGGCATTAAGAAGGCAAACAACTAGCAGCTAAATGTGTCTGGAAAAATATTCAAAGGCTTTTATTTTCATGAACAACACGGAGGTAAATGCGTCTGATTGTTCTGATTGGCTGGAGTAGATGTCTCACGTGAGCACGCCAAGTATGAGCGCGCTCTTTCCTGCAATTTTCTTTCTGTATTCACACAGTGCAGCATTCCGGCAATTTACTAGTAGTCTTACAACTTCTCTTTCTGGAAAATTGGCAGAACAAATTTACCGGTATTTTCAAAAAGGGCCTGTTCACACATACAGAACTTTCCGGAAAATTGACGGTAATTTTCCAGACTGGTCTTTATGTGTGAAAGGGACTAGTGTCGCCTCTTGGTGATTCTATGCTCTTTGGCTGCCGTGTAAAATCCTGTTGCTTTGTTTACCACAGGATTAGTTTTTTTATTCATTATATTAGTAATGTTTCTTATTATTTGTATTTAGTAAATATACTGTTAGTTAAAAGGTTGCCAGTGTTACCAGTTGAAACCTAAAGTGGCTATGACGTCTTAAAATATATGGTAAGAGTCCTAAAAAGGGTTTAAAAGTTATTGAATTTCACTCTCTGATTCTCATATATACCCTGTTTACAGAATGTGTTGCTGTTTTTTTTCACCCAGGTGAACTACATCCTGGAGTCTCGTGCCAGCACATCGAGAGCGGATTATTTTGCCCAGAAACAGCGCAAACTGAGCCGCCGCACGAGCTTTAGTTTCCAGAAGGACAAAAAGTCAGGCCAGTAAAGCTGGAGGATGAAACCGTTCAGCCAACTCTAGACCAAGAGAAAGAGACGGGCCTGTGTGAGGAACAGAGGAACATCAAAAAGGTAAAAACCTAAGAAAGAGGAGAACGCCGTGGTCTTGTTCCAGATGGAGAAAATCAGCCTTTCCGAGAGCTGATGGTCCGTAATCATATCAGAGCACTAAAGCTCCACGCTGTCACTCGAATGTACTCGCAAAACCAACCAACAATCTGACTGAACATTTAGATATTAGCCATCGCCCAGACCAGACCAAACCATCAGCTGGACTCTGGATGCCAAGGGCCGAGAACTTGCTGCTGTTTTGCGTCAGTTTTCAAAGACTTCCTTCTTCCACTGCCTACAAATGAACTGTACATAAACGCGCACCAAAACCAACGCAGTCGGAAACTTCGAAAAGCCAGAATGAGCAAGCGAAACCGTATTAGCCGTTCCCGTATGTTTCAGAGATGTTAAGCGGCAGCACTTTACTTGAAGGGGTGTTCGTAAGGAAGTCACGACAGCTTTATGATCATGACGTGACTCTATTTTGCTTTGCATGCTTATGACTACAGCCTTTAAGTGTCATTCGCGCAGTTATGTCATTTTAAATCCAAAGCTGGTGTTATTTGAGATGCCTTTAAATGAATACATCATACCTGTCTTTATCACGACAGCTTGACATTATTATCAAGACTATATAACTTGTTATAAATCTGTCATAAACATGATAGTTGTCCGACAGCTGTCTTTAAATGTCATTCGCTCAGTTATGTCTTTTTATGCATGAGTTACATTGTTTGAGATGCCTTCGTTATGACAACTTCACATAAGCGAATACATTATAACCTGTCTTTGTTGCGACAACTTGACATTATGAACACAATATAACTTGCATGCTTATGACAACTGTCTTTAAGTGTCGTTTGGACAGTTGTCATTTTAAATCCAAAGCTGATATTATTTGAGATGCCTTCGGTATGACACCTTGACAAACTAATACATCATAACCTGGCTTTGTCTTTGTTGCGACAACTTGACATTATCAAGACAATTGAATTTTTTGTTTGCATGCTTATGACAACTGTCGTTAAGTGTCATTTGCACAGTTATGTCATGTTAAATGCAAAGGTGACAGTGTTTGAGATGCCTTCGTTATGACAACTTGACATAAACAAATACATTATAACCTGTCTTTGTTACAACAACTTGACATTATCAAGAATATTTAACATTTTGTTTCCATGCTAATGACAACTGTCGTTAAGAGTCATTTGCACAGTTAAGTCATGTTAAATGCGAAGGTGACATTGTTTGAGATGCCTTCGTTATGACATCTTGACATAAACTTATACATCATAACCTGGCTTTGTCTTTGTCGTGACAACGTGACTTTATCAGGACAATATAACTTTTGTTTGCATGCTTATAATATAACTAGTCTGTCGTGACAAATTGACATCAATATAACTTGTCATAAATCTGTCATAAACATGATCATCATGAGGCCATTACAATTGTGTCTTAAATGTTATAACTGCGTCATTAATATTTCTCTTGACCTCTTAAACTACAGTTGTACGAATTGAATTGGTCATTAAAATGTCGTTAAATATTTATGATGCTTTTGTTAAATTATTCCACAGAGTAATGACACTTTCACAGAACAGCTCCAATGACAAAAGCCATCAAAAAAATATTCATGATGCAACCATAATGGACTATCATGTTTATGACAGATTCATGACAAGTTATTTTGTCTTGATAATGTCAAGTTGTTATGACAAAGACAAAGTTATAACACATTAGCTTATGTCAAGCTGTCATAACGAAGGTATCTCAAAAATGTAATATGACATGACTGTGCAAATGACACTTAAAGACAGCTGACATTTTAAATGACATAAGCTAACAAACTAAAACATCATAACCTGCCTGTGTCATGACAACTTGGCATTATCAAGACAAAATAACTTGTCATAAATCTGTCATAAACATGATAGTCCATTATGATTGCATCATGATGCATTTTTGATCGCTTTTGTCATTAAAAATGTTCTGTAAGAGTGTCAATAGAGTCGAATGATTTTTCAGCCTTTCCGAGAGCTGATGGTCCGTAATCATATCAGAGCACTAAAGCTCCACGCTGTCACTCGAATGTACTCGCAAAACCAACCAACAATCTGACTGAACATTTAGATATTAGCCAATGACAAAAGCCATCAAAAAATATTCATGATGCAACCATAATGGACTATCATGTTTATGACAGATTTATGACAAGTTATTTTGTCTTGATAATGTCAAGTTGTTATGACAAAGACAAAGTTATAACACATTAGCTTATGTCAAGCTGTCATAACGAAGGTATCTCAAAAATGTAATATGACATGACTGTGCAAATGACACTTAAAGACAGCTGACATTTTAAATGACAGAAGCTAACAAACTAAAACATCATAACCTGCCTGTGTCATGACAACTTGGCATTATCAAGACAAAATAACTTGTCATACATCTGTCATAAACATGATAGTCCATTATGATTGCATCATGATGCATTTTTGATCGCTTTTGTCATTAAAAATGTTCTGTAAGAGTGTCAATAGTGTCGAATGATTTAATGAAAGCGTCATTCATATTTATTGACATTTTAAAGGCCAATTTAATTTGTACAACCATAGTTCAAGAAGTCAAGAGAAATGTTACTGACGCTGTTATAACATTCATGACACTATTATAATGGCCTCATGATGATCATGTTTATGACAGATTTATGACAAAAACAGGTTATGTATTTATGTCAAATTGTTATAACAAGGTTTGTAGTTTTCTTTACTAATGCAATACAAATGAATAAATAAACGGGGAAAAATAAAAACATGAATCGCAAAATACGCAAAGCTGCTCATTTACGAATATTGCTTACAGTGCACTATAATGAGACATCCCAAACAATGTCATCATTGCATTTAAAATGACATAACTGAGCTATTAACACTTAATGACAGCTGTTATAAGCATGCATCTCATGTTCTGTCACTTTTCTAAAGGTGTCTTACGAACTCGAGCTTCAAGTAAAGTGTTACTTGTTAAGTCAAACAGACATCGATGCATAAAGGGATGCTTTTTTTTTTCCTTTTTTTTTTTTTTTTTTAACAAAAACGATGTAAATAGCAACTGCATTCAGGGTTTGATGACAAACCCTCTTTGGCCATAGTACTTCAGTGCCTGCTACAGATCAACTGCATTTGTGTTACTTTTTTTTTTTAGATTTTATTAAGCATCCGCTGATTCAGTCAGGTCAAAAATGCCTGCAAACTTTTTACCAACCGAGGAAGCCGCTAGGTTTAGGAATGACCGATTTTTAACGATCAAATACAAAATGAATAACTACTTCTTTGGACTGTGACTGTGTTTCTCCCTTCTTTTAATTGCATATATTATAATAACGAACCAATCGGCGGCTAGATGGCGGCTTTGGCTCCTCTGACTGTCTGCAATGGGAATGTATGACGTTTTTGCCACGTTTCTTGGTAAATGTTTCAGAAAACATTTTAAAAATAGGTTCATTTCATCTGCAAGGAATGGCTCCATCTCCCCACCAAATCTGCCGTTTCAGCCTGTTTCTGTCTTTGTGTAACTCCACTCCAACCGCTGCTGTTGTTCAACTGGATTCAGGGTGTTCGTTCTATCCAAAACTGTTCTGACTCAGGTTTCCGACTGCCATGTTGTCTTGACTGATCCTGTTTCATTTTGTTTTTTTTCTGTGTGTCTGTCAAAGCCGGAGAGCAATGACTGACGCTCAGTTGGACAAAGACAGCATGTGTTCCTGTGACGGGGATTACAGCTGAATAGACATTTCAAATAAGAAACTTTATTTATAATATTACAATGACCTGGGGGGGGGTTATCATGCGGCCTATGGAATCAACAATATTTGCTACAGTACATCTATACTGTATATATGTAGATTTTCTAATTAAAGACTGAACTACAGTGGTTTTGTGCTGGTGTTTTTATTGAATTTATTTATTTATTTATTTATTTATTTTTTACAGTTTATTAATTCATTCATTTTCTTTTCGGCTCACTCCCTTTAATAATCACAGCGGAATTAACCACCAATTTATCCAGCATATGTTTTACGCCTCGGATGCCCTTCCAGCTGCAACCCATCACTGGGAAACACCCATACACACTCATTCACACACATAAACTATGGACAAATAAGCCTACCCAATTCACCCTATACCACATGTCTTTAGCCTTGTGGGGCAAACCGAAGCACCCAGAGGAAACACACGCCAACACACAGCTGAGGTTCATGTAATATGTACATACAAAAAAATTACATTTAAATGTATTACAGCATATTAAAAAATATGTGGCAATCTATGTAGTTTAAATTTATAAATATATTCTTTAAAATTGTTTTAAAATTTTTAAAAAGCTGGCTTGTGTTTTCACAAGACTTATAAGAATAGTACAAATGACCTCTGCACCCTCTGTAGTTAGAGATTGATTAGAGTAGATTGATTAGTTAGAGATCGATTCTGGACATGACAGGGTGTACTCACACTAGGCTATGCGAACCGTGCCCAGGCGTATTTCCCGGTTCGTTTGATAAGTGTGAGTGCTCTGAATTGCGCCCAGGCACAGTTGGGTTGGCTGGTGCTCTGTTGATTTATACCTTATCAGATTGTACAACCTCCTATTTAAAAAGTAGGTAGCACATTTTGATGACTCAATATGCTACCAATCAGGGTTTGCTACTAGTGTTAATTTTAATTTGGAGTAGTGTGATACGAAACTGTAATGCTGTGTTCACACCAGATAAATCGCGCTATTCGCGCGTAAATTGCTGCGTAAACATTTGAGTTTACTCGCTTCATTCGCGCGTCAAATCCGCTTCATTCGCGTGTCAAATTCACTTCAAAACAGACGCGGATTCGCGTGATGGGCAGGGCTTCTGTCTGCCCGGTGACTCTAGCTTCATAGCTAAATGGCTAACATGGATTTTATGAAGAAAATAACAGTGTTTATGTGCTTTATGGAGACATCCTTTCAGAGGTGCATCCAGCTCTGTGAGCTCATAAACTCCTCCAGAAACTGAACCTGGATGACGGAGACTTTCAGCGGTGTTTCTGAGTGAGCCAAGCCCAGTTTGATGACTTGTTGTTGGTGTCGCCTGGAGGATTTTCCCCGGGACACCATCAACAGGTTCTACGTCACAATCACGCCCCCACAAGAGCAAGCTTCTGATAGGTTAACGCGGCGCGAATGTCCGCTGAAGTTCAGATTTTTGAACTCGAGAGATTCACGCGAAACGCTAGTTAAGTGACAATGCTAGCGTTTGCATTGACTTAACATGTAAATCACTCGCGCGTTCCGCGTCTGGTGTGAACACAGCATAATATTGCCCAAACCTACCTAACCCCAACCTTAGAACCATTCAAATAGTGTTGGTAGCCCTGATGGGTAGGATAAAATGTCAGGACACCGGCCCTAACCCAGTTGGAAGAAGCATGCCAGAGCGCAGCGTTGCAGGTGGAAGTGCATTCGCTGCATGATGTGCTCTTTTAGGTTCATTAAAGACCACTCCTGCTGCTGCGTTCTGAAGCATCTGAAGACGTTTGATAGAGTTAGCTGTTTTTACGATCCTGAACCAATATTGGAGTTACTTCTGCACGCTGGAGGAAGGACGATACCAAAGAGCTTAGGATGACCAAGAGGCAACACTCAATAGAACGCTCCATTGCAACAGCAGAGCCCTGCAGCAGCTCCGGATTCCACCATTTTGGAGTGAAAGCGGTCGGCTGTCAACTGGATCTTATTGCTGTCACTTTGACAAGCAGCTGCTTTGTTTATTTATTTATTTTAAAAACGCATTAAAGCTGAGATACAACCTGAAGACGACAATACAACACTGACTATCTGGTACTATTATCGGCACTTTTAATAGTTTATTTTACAGACCTATTTTCTTGGAACTGTCACTTTTAGGTGAAATTAAATTAATTTCTATATAGCATTTTTTCCAGTGTTGTCTGTTAAAGAAAGACTAATACAGTTATGTAAAAAGCCACGTTGTCCAAAATGATTGATTTCTGACACAAAATGTCATAAATACACACAAACTATGTTAACATATTAAATTGTTATAGTATTAACAACAATGGAAGCCATACAAACTACTAGATAAAGGAGTTTTTGATGTGAGATAGACTTTGATGTGAGTAAAACTAAAAATAATAGTAATCAAGTTATTAAAACTATTAGTTTGTGAATGAATCTCTGTTATGAACGACTCGTTCACTAGCCGACAGTAATACAAGTTTCTGGCAGCGCAGCATCTCGTTGTCATATTTCTTTTGCATTGTTTGCTGATTTTATTCAACAAAACTAGCATAAGCCGAGTGTTTAGTGCGAGTTGCTGCTGCTTTGCCGTATGGTGAAAACAGTAAGAGACTGTATGATCATCAATAAAGTTTTCTGTTTAGCACAAAAGTTCAGAACATACAAAAACAGAAAAAAAACTTAATCTTACCTATGAAATATTCTGCTTTTGTGCTTTGTTTTCTTTGTTTGCTCGTTACTACACCATAGACAGCGCTAAAGTCCCACATCTTCACGTAATAACACTGTCTTGACTAGTGCGGTTGAATGACATTTGTCCTTGGAGCACTGTACAAATATGGCGCCGATATTGACGCATGCTCAGACTCCCTATGCGATATCTAGTGTATATATCTATGATCACCTACTGCACCTTTAAACTGTTACTGTTGGGAAATTCATTGTGTCTTGATTAATTTCTGATGAATGTATGACTTCTGATGAATGTATTACTCTAATTTATGTTATTATTTTTTAGTGATTTCAGTATTATTATTATTATTATTATTATTATTATTATTATTATTATCTATTGTGTTATTACCCATACCTGTAGCATTATTATCAGGTATGTGTGCTTGGGTAAATAAAAAAAGAAGTCACCCTGTGTAAATGCAGTCAGAGATGAGAAGAGAAAGTAGAAGAGCAGCATTGATGTCACAATGAGAGTAGACTTATGGAAGCAAGACCATAAGGACACCTACGCTCTGTTCTGTAACTTATGATCATACACATCTGCACACTCAGACATGCGCCCCCGATTAGTTGTAATGACTTTTAAAAATATGAGTACCTATGAACTTCAGCTGAACTTACAGTGTATATATATATATATATAT